ATTGGCAGCGCCACATTTGCCACCCACTGGGGTATATAGGTCAGGCATGCTCCCACTTGATAGATCCATCAATCAACTCACCTTTGTTTAACAGAATCTAATGTTCTTCTCCCTGAAATAATGTAGTAGAGTGGGGTTGTCAGCTAGTATCGCTTAGCAGTGTTAGTAAAGAGGAGTTTGTGATCGTATATAGAACCCACCCTCACGATAATGCGACCGGCGAGGCTCAGTCTCAATCAATTTTCGACGGAAATCAACCTCGATACATTTGAGACGCCAAGCTAGTTACTAATATTGACGACAGCTCTCCAGGCTCATTTATGACACACGGCGGCCTCCATACGCTGTGAGGAAATGGCTTATTCGCCATTGAACTTAGTGGCACCGACCCGCCGATCGATTATGCATCGACTAATACGTATATCAAAATGATGGCCTGCTGTTTCTTAGCTTTCAAGTGTAAGGCTAGATCAGACTGAGAGAACATTCATCTTTTTCTAATGAAGCTGTTTCCAACTATCACTTCCCACGTTTTGCAGAGATCGCCATCCAATTGCGCCTGTTCCAAGAAATCTCGAAATCTTCCTACGGGTGTCTCGTCTTATGCTCACGAAATGAAGAGTACGCAGTAGCGGCGAATTGATCATTACTGGCGCAGAGCTGCAATTCTCGAACTCATAACCTACTAAGCTGGGTGGATCGAGCATTTGTTCTCCCATTGCTCTCCGTGGCTCTGCCGCTGTGTTGCGAACAGCCTTCACGGGCAGGCTAGCGGACTCCGGTGCATCAGACTTCGCTCTGTGATTCTCCGAGGTTTGCGCGGCGAAGATAGCCATCCGTCGGTCTGCCTCCCATTCGATCTCCAGTCCACCATCGTCGTCACGGACCAGCAGCTGAGCGAGTCATGTCAGCCCACCTCGAATGTATCGAGGTCAGCGATCAGGACAGCACGGCATTGCCACTTGTGCTAGTTCACGATGGCGGCGGCACTGTTTTCCAGTACTTTCTCCTCGGCCCTTTCTATCGTCAGGTCTATGCTATTAGCTCTCCATACTTCCGGGGGGGAGGCAAACCAGAAGGAGGCATACCACAGCTAGCCAAAGAGTACGCTCGCGCTATTCAAGCCGAGCTTGGCCAAGGCAACATCATTCTTGGAGGTAAGATTGGATGGGAGTGATCTATACCTTGTTCCGCAGTGTGCGTGGTTGACATGTTAGCAGGCTGGTCTTTTGGGGGCATGCTCTCAATAGAAGTAGCAAGATTACTCCGTCAAAGCGGCAGAATAGGCGTGCAGGGGTTGCTTATGATAGACTCAATTTGCCCGTGGAGCAGCAACTACAAGTCGCGAGGTCGAGTGCGTCCCACGTACCGGAAAAATACCTCGGACGCTGTCAAAGCAAAGGTCAATCGAAGCTTCGACAACGCTCGAGACCTACTCCACGAATGGGCCAGACCACCAACTTTCGAAGCACCACCAGCAGTCATGATTCAGGCTAGCGATGCCTTGACTCGTCAAAATTTGCCGGACGGCGAGCAAGATCTCGAGGACCAAGACGGACAGCTGGGATGGTCAGAATATCCATGCTTGCACTTCGTCTCCGTTGTAACCGTTCCCGGAGACCACTTCAGCATGTTTGCAGATGATAAGGTGCGTCTCATATGAGAAAACCCGGGGCTGGAGGGGGAGGGCGAGATTTCCATGCGTGCCACTGACTTCAATGGAATATAGTTAAGCGACATGACGCGAATAATCAAAGAATCTTGCAAACTCCTTGGGACTTACACAACATAGAATGGATGCCGGGTATAGGCTTCCACAGAATACTTAGAGCGGCGTCTCTTGTCGGTCTAGAATCTCATTTCATGCGACCTAAATAACCGCTATCTTGCGCATTTAAACGACGTAATAGCTATGCTAGCAAGACAAGTCGTCTCGAGCTCAAGCCGCAAAGGTGAAGCAGGCTAGATAGTCTAAACCGGCCTTAGCAGCAGTGCATACGTTTCACTCGAGTTCAAAAGTGTTTTAGGGACACGGACGCTCCGTTCCTCCGAGAGCGAGCCGAACGACAAGGTCATAAGGGAAGATACTAGGTCTTGCCCGAAAGCTGGTCTAAATGGTCAAGCCCATTTTTCTTAGAATTATCCTAGCTATGCTATGCGGCACTAGTATGAATTTGGTTTGTTTGTTTGTTTGTTCGAAAGGGGTGGTGGGTTCGAAAAGGGTGTTATTGAAGTGGGCTTTGGTTCGAAATGGGCGCTGGGTTCGAAAAGGGTGTTGGGTTCAGAAAGGGTGTTAGGTTCGAACAGGGCGTATAACTTTGGTGAATTTTCTGCAAATGGGCGACCGAACTATTACGATGACGCGAGAGTGTACAGTGACGACTTCAGCTGGATGACCAACAGCTTCATCTAAGAGAATTGACATAGCTTGTGAATTTGTGTGGTGACCGAAATTGCTTGAACCCTCGTAGCAGCTTCTTAGCTAGACAGTCAAACCACGTTACCTAAGGGATCCTGTGCAAGGTGGACCATCAAATGTCCGCGAGACTACTGAAGGCAATAGACGAAAACACAGTACGCGAAGTAGGGGCCTGACACTCGTGGCACTAGAATCAGCGTCGCTAGTATGCATGAGACAGCCTTCACGAGTTGGTCTACGCACGACATCGTCTTTTTGTATCATTACACCGTATCGACCGCAATATCTCCCAAATGCTTTTCACAAGCCTCGGAGACGCCCTCTGTTAAACCCAGGCTTTCCAAAAGAGTTATTGATGGATCTATCAAGTAGGAGCATGCCTAACCTGTATATAGCAGTGGGTGGCAAATGTGGCGCTGCCAATGTTCTTTAATACTCTCTTACTCCTCTCTACCTGTAGCTTACGCCAACGAGATTGTTTGCCTAAGGCATTAGTCTCGTCCCGATGAAACTACATCTTCTATCCCGCACTTTTGTTCGACTTCAGCTCTCGCAAGAACAGCACCTCAGCACAATGAAACCGGCGTCGAATCGCAAACCAGTGATCGTGCGCAGAACTACATACGCAGTCTAATGCAAGCCTTTCAAGCCCAACGACTCTAGGTTTCCCGCGAAAGACGCTCGAAATGAAACAGAATGACGGCCCAAAGCCGCGTTATCTCGTCTCTACCTCCAGACTCTCCAACTTCTTCAATCACGACCAGCTGCCAACGAAGAAGGGACTACTTTCGTTCATTCTGATACAAGATCTGAGTCATACTGTAGGTTCTGTCTCGGCCCTAATGCAACCAAGTCAGTCACTGCTAATCTCAGTTTGACTTCCTTCTTCTCTTACAAGCCGCCCGGACCCTTTTGGGTATATAATCCAAACCTGGACATCTCTAGACAAGGAACTCTCCATTATGCAGAGATTCATTTTTGGCTCTCGGACTTCGTCACGGGCTCTATCTTCAATGAATGCATTTATTCACCATCTTCCACAAATGCAAACAACTCCGGATCTGCGCATGCTCTCTATTAGCGATAGCAATCCATACCGCAACCTGTCCCTTATAAAGGTATCCTAAACTTACAACTCAATTATATCAATCTTTAGACGTACAGGCCTAGAAGGCAAAGCTATCCGATTAGAGGGGGAAGGCGTCTCGAGCACCGCTTTACCGTTGCGATTGCCTCTAGATTGTCGAGCATGGTGACCGGTTCTTTGGGCCTTCAATAATGTGTTAAACAAGACAGTGACGTGTCAGTCTGTAATGCGAAAGGAGAGGGGCTGAATAGTGTTGAAAATTGCCGGAAAGGGGGTCCAGACCACCATAGACGCACTCGAAGATATAAAGGAGTGGAAGCACCCAGCAGTGAGACAGACAGCTCAATCAACCTTTTCATCACCAAATTTACCAAATAGAGGGTTAAGGCCGTGGAGGAGTCTGCAAGATAGAGGGTATATATAGTCCGCCGCATGCTGTTCGTTGCTCTAGGTCATTTGAGAAAATTGAGATCTGGAGTGAGACAGGTTACAGTACTGTAATGAGATCTTTTTGTCTACCACGCTGGAATTCTTTCGTTTGAGGAGCGAACTCGAACATCACTAGCATTTACGCATGTGGCGGCACGTGATGTCTGGAAATCCGTTTGGACACGTATTAAGATCACCCCCTTATGCTCGATTGGAATCCACGTAAGATTATTGACTCTAAGCGCGACCGCAATCATGTGTCTAACTCGTTACCCGGCGACTGACGATGTCTCGATAGTTCTCTACTGTGACCCTAAGGAAATAAAGACCTGGTTCCATATCTCGAGCCTGGCTATATAGTCCTCGCTCCTTGCCACAGCGGTCGTAACTAAGCCCTTATATTCATCTCTCACACCTGCGAGAAGACCTACAATCTTTATGCACATGTCCCTGACCCGATGATGTCGCCAAAGCAAGAGTAGGGCTCGCAGCATAGGCCACCTATCGTAATGACAAGGTTGTCGCATGCACTGCCCAAAGGCAGACATTTTTGTTCTGCTTGCTGTAACAGACGGAGTGGTAAGCCGTAGCTAATGTGCAGTAGACAGGTTTGAGCGGAGCCTTACCCTAAGTTCTGGAATTCCAGGTAGGGCAACGGCGACACTGACGAGCAGTGCGAGGATTGAGAACTTCGTAGTAGACGTGTTGGCTGATCGACTATCAAATAGAGCAAGAATGGAGAGGGTATGACATTCGAACACAAAGAGAATAGGCCAGAGCGCTGGAGGAGAAACCTTTATACATAAATATTCGTGCCCTAGATTGTTCCTCTGAAGTTTGGTCTGCAGGCAAATGGAGTATTACTAGGGTTGCCTACCAAAATAGGTGCGTGCTCGTCCCAATCCTCAGATTCCCTTGAACTGACAAATCCTGCGAACAGCAAAGTCGTATTCGGAAGGCAAGGAGAAAGCGGGGTTCTTTGAGCAACTATTGGTGTGTAGAGTGAGGTTGGGCGGTTTTCGCCGGACACTATTTCGCAATGATATATATGGTTCTTTGAATCGAAATGCTGATACTGTACGCCGGCAGCTAAATTACAAATTAGGACGTTTGAGCTGTGCCGCTCTCAATTTTCTCGCCTAATTGCATGATCATTATACCCTGACACACGTCGGTAGGGTTTGTACTGTTCCACTCAATCATCTACTGTCCTCCTATGCAGGGATCCTGTACTGCTGCTAAAATGAAATCTTCATGTTCGATCTCACCACATTCATCCTACTCTTCACGAGCTGTCATGTACGAAGAATGTTCAAAAAGCTCTCCCTGCAAATCCCTCAACCGAGTCCTCTTACCCGTACATGCCTTGACCAGCCCTTATGCTCTGCCTCGTGAACCTGCTCATGCCGACGTCGTCTCTCATTCGCGGCTAGCAGCTGTGTCCTCGGAGCTCCCACTGCGGATTCGGCTTTCTTGAGCTCGTCCTAGACCGTAGGTAGCTTCTTTGCTTTCTTTGACAGTCTGTCTTCGCACTCTCAGGGAGTCTTCCCACTTAACGCACGCTGCCATTACGCCTTAGTCTTCCGTCTGCTCGACTCGCTATGCCTTTGGCGGTAGCCCTGAACTTCGCTAAGGGCATATAGCTCTGGTAGGAGGCACTGATACAACCACGATAGCCGATAAGACTTTGCGCTCCGCCTTGTGAGAGTCCTAGCAATCTTACCATCCTGCCTGCTAGAGCAAAGGATATCAGTATTGCTCAAGCCACGCCCCGCTAGCCCAGCCGCATCTTAAGCCATCTGGCTTACTCTTTAAGCTCACGCCACCTCCTTCTTATTGCCCAGGGAGATATCCCTCTAGCTCTTCTAGCGACACGATGTGAGCGCACGACAAAAAGCGCCCCAAATGCCGATAGTAAAGGGAACAATCGAAGCTGGGGCGTTCCTGGCAGTGGACGGAGTCTATTGGGGCTTATCTTCGACCAAGGTCCAATGAGCTGCTTCCGCCTTGGTTTCCCCTTCGGTGCGACGGTCTTCGTAATAGGTCCTCATAATAGGTCTTCGTAATAGATTAGCAAGTCGAGGATCCGACGTTGTCTTAAGAGAGGTTCAGGGATGACGAGAGTATGATACGAGAAATTGCCCGAAGGAGAGCCGAAAATTGACGAAGGAGGTGTTGGGAGAAGGTAAATTTCTCAAGAGGGGGGATGGGCTCTGGAACACGAATCGCGGTCTCAGAGCTGAGCCTTATTGTGAGAGACGCTACGACAAAGCTCAAGTCTTATTCCATTCCTGGTCCTACTTTACATTGATTGGTATTCTCTCACTACATCTCATTTATCTGAACGAACATCCTGCTAAGCACTATTGCGGACAGATTTTTAGGCGGCCATCTCCTTTGGCCTCTTAATCTCCCGTCGTGGCCACTATAGAGAGCACTGTTGAAGATTGGCAGCGCCACATTTGCCACCCACTAGGGTATATAGGTCAGGCATGCTCCCACTTGATAGATCCATCAATCAACTCACCCTTGTTTAACAAAGCATTCACAGACCGAGCGCTGCTACTAGATGAAAATCAGACGCTGTTCGTACCAAACCATGAGAATCAACCCGCGTATCCACCAAATCGACAGTTGTCGACAAGACCAAAGCGATGCGATTCGAGGACATCGTCGCTACTCGAGAGAAGCGAGAGAGGACGCAAGCGAACAAGGTTCGTTTAAATCAGCGGACACACAAGGCATCAAAGCGAGGGTATACTAGGAGAGAGAAATGCGAGATGCTGAAAATCAGACCGCGACCCTAGAATTGTCAAAATACTGCTCCGTCTTGCAGCTTGAGGGGATGTCACATCTTTGTAGGTTCCTGATGATCATGGCACTAATAGCGAGTCCGAGTAGTCGCAGATTGAACGTACAACAAGACAAGGCCAGCTCTTGACTATACCAGCAGCTTCCATCTCGAAACAGAGCCCATCTGCCTTCCTCTGCATTTTCACCTGTCGACAAGTTTCCTCTCTTTCTACACCGTTCTTCATAAGTGTGTCAGCAGATGCGATGGTCCCGTAGTGCACCGTCGGATAGTCTGCAAACTGATCTGACCTAACTCTAACGAACTTTGCGTTTTCGAAGCCATCTGGAGCGTCTCTCAAATAACGTGGACGTCTTTGAACGACGTTCTGGACTTCTTGCTGGCATAGGACGCAATCTGCTGCCTCCGAATCGTGTGCGAAGTCTGCTTGGTAAAGATTATCCACGGCTTCAGGCTGGTTGTAGTAGTCTTCGACAAGCTGCGGCCGATTTAAGCGAAGGGTCTTTCGCAACATTGTCTCCAAATGCGCTAGGTATGTTGGTCCTTCTCGCTGGTGTTGTGTTTTGAGGGCACTTACTGCACGTTGGAGTGCCTCTGGTGGTTCCGCCAGCTCTGATCTTGGTAAATTTGGTGATGAAAAGGTTGATTAAGCTGTCTGTCTCACTGCTGGGTGCTTTATATCTTCGAGTGCGTCTATGGTGGTCTGGACCCCCTTTCCGGCAATCTTCAACAACCCCCCTTTGT